AAAAAAAAAAAACACCTCGAACGCTGATACACGAGTGCGCCGAACTTTGCGCTCTGAAGGGCATCCCATCAAGGATGAAACTATGGCAACTATAGTCCGAGCAGCGGGAGATAAAAAGAGACAGACACACTGACGTGGATGAAGGAAAAAAATAAATAAATAAAAAAAGACCAGCTGAAATGAATTTGCACTAGTGCTGGATGATCAAGCACACTAAAGACTGTATGTATGCAGAGTGGACTCACTTTAAAGAAGAACACATATATACACTTTGAATGCTCTTACTTCGGCACCTTAAGCAAAAACTAACTAAAAAGATGTGTGTTGCACGGGAGGTTGACAGCGGACATGTACAGTGCGGTACTCTGCATTTTCAGTTCCCTAGTTTCCAAGAGACGAGGAGCTCATAAGCGCCCGGGGAGGGAAAAAAAAAAACGAAAATGTAGCCCGGGCCCCCCTTAAGTAGGTCAAAATTGAACCCTCATTTACTTGTTAAGCTTTCAAAGTCACATTGCACCTTTGGGAAATGGCACAAGGAGAAGTGAGCCAGTTTAAAGCTAAAAAAAAAAAAATGAGAGAGAGAGAGAGACAGTGTTAAGGTTTTCTTTTTTGCTTCGCTTTAACAAGACTGTCTGCCATGTAGAAGTGAAAAGGGAAAAAGGGAGGGTGGGAAGAGCTTAGCAATAGGAATTTTGGCAATGCTGCAAGAGAATTTCTAATGAGGTTTTGAGAAAGAGCTTATTTTCTTTTTTTAATGAAAAAAAAAAAGTGTTGTTTGCTATAGAAAAGGAGAGAAATATATCCCTGACAGGAATGTTTATTGTTGAACTATTTTCAGTATTGCTTCCAAGGAAAAAGGGGGAGATCGTTTTGTTTACTCCAGACTGCCTTTGAGAGTGTTTCCCTCTTTGCTTCGGAACACTGACAATCAGAATGTCTTCGGAGGTGGTGGTGGAGGAGGGGGCGGGTGGGTGGTTGGATGCAGGGGGGTGGGGGGGTTACAAGAACTGATTTATCCCCAAAATGCTCTGTAGAAGTGCCATGTCGTCTTAAATGTAAAAGCAAGCTCACGTGGTCTTTAAAAGCAATATCTCCTCTAATAAGGACTATACAAGTACTCCAGTTATGTTCTTTTTATTAATTTGTGAATATTTGAGGACTTTTTTTTTTCTGTACAAAAGCATATTAGATTGTTCTCATTTTAGGAGTATTTGGATTAGCAAGCCTTCAGTTTTATGTGAATGTACAGAACGTGGACTTGTTTTCTTTCATCAGCAGTAAAGTGTAAATTGAGTATAACTCATAAAAGCTACCAGTCAGATCTTTTTTCATTTTGCTGCAACATTTTTAACAATATATATACGGCTGACCAATATATCCTTATAACTGACATGGTTGTATATGATTTTTACTCTATGTTTTTTAGAGTTAAATATTTGGCCTCCTTTTTTTAGCTGAGCCTACTTTGGTCAGACAATGTGTGACAGTAAATTTGTTGTTTTCTTTTTGGTTGTTTTCCAGTGCTCTTTCAGTAGTGTGGCTTCTCATTTCGAGCCAAAAAAAAGTGCAATTTCTTTGACTGTTTACATACTGTATGTATATTTTTCTCCCTCTTTACTTTTTCTACCTAAAGGCACTACATTATTGCCAGTGGATGATTAACTTTATAGCAAAGGGTACACTTAAAGAGTTATTTATCTAGTTTGCATGACATACATGTAACCTTTGCCTGTTGCCTCTGATGGTGTGCATCTGATAAACAAAACATCCCCCCAAAAAAACAGTGATAACTCAATGCCATAGAATGTCAGCTCCAACATTTTGCCTCTGTATCCATAATAATAAAAGCATTTTATGTCTCCTGGTACTAAACCCTGTGAACTCTTTATGTTTCAGCAGGGAGCCCCTCCCTCCAGCTGTGTTTGTGTGTTAAGTGGAAATACTGCATTGATGTTAATCAGAGTGAGTTAACAGTGCTATCTAGTGGTCTAAGGCTGTATGTCTCACATTGTCTCGTCCTCTGTAATGACCCACAATGGAGGACATGGCTGGCAAAGGAGCACAATAACAAGATGGGGGAGGAATACAACGTATCATGGAGGGATGCTCTATCCTGCCTTTAAAACAACCTGAGGCAGTTGGGTTTGAGCAAAAAGGTAGATATTCTGTTTTGCATCATGACAGACTAAATAACCCTTTTGCAGAATGCGAATCCTAAAATATAAATGTGCTTATTAGATATTAACATTGAAAAAATGTTAGTATTTTACTAAGAAATATACTTATTTCCAACAATATGATTTCCATAGGTGGTTAGATCTTTATCTAATAGTCATTGCATGCCACAAACAGCCACAATATGCTTAAAGAAAAGCTAAATAGGCCCCAAAACACTGAATTCAGGTCTTCCAACCACGTTCATGGCCCCAGATTAATGAAATTCAGCTCTTATGCAGGTTGACAGCCTTTACCAACTTTTATAAAAGAACAGGTCAATCTCATCTCAGTGAGTTCCAGGGAGGATGGTTGACAGGATGATCTATGATCCTAAAAATTCAGAATGTCATTAGCTACAGAAAGTTAACAACTTAAGGTCATAGGTTGGGGGCTTATTAAGTTCTGGATCCAACTTCAAAAAGTCTGAGCTATCCCTTACACCTAAAAGAAACACTTAAAAGTAAAAAAAAAAAAAGATTGTGCAAAGAAATATGACTTAAACAGCTGAAGTTTGGTTTGAACAGATGACTTTATTGGGTGTATTTACAAACAAGCACATGCAGAAGGTGGACAACTGACTGACAGCAGAAGGGCACGCAACTATATGTAATAGTGGGACTAAGGAAGGTCTACAGGCTACGTTACACCAGAGAGAAGAAGAAGAGGCTTTTTGTTACACACACACAGCGAAAGTGCAGGATGTGCTGACACTTGAAAGTGCTCACATCATCTCTAACTACTTTCACTTCCAAACACACACCACCATGCTCATACCCTCACACTTTGAGAACCCAGATAGATAGAGAGCTGCTCCTTTTTATACATCTTGGGGATCAATAAATAGCACATCTAATAAATTACCAGCTTTCACATAAAATCAAAAAAATCAAAACAAACAGCTTCATTTGTCCAATAATATTCAATCTGAAGAGCATTTATTACTATCCATTTGATGGCATTATAATTATTTACAATATGAGAATGTGACAGTTTCTTTTACTGCTACTGTAGCGCCAGTAATGTCATGCTACATAGCACTGAGGTACACACAAAAAAAAAAATCACATGGACTTTTATTGAAGAATCAAGCTCTCCCTGATTTCTGTGTTAAAGAAACATTCCTACAGAAACAAATACAGACGTATTTGAATCTCTTCCCATCTTGTAACTTTAAAGATATTTTCCCAATACCTTGGATGCAATGGATAATGATGGTTTTATAAAAAAACAGATAAACATTATGCATAGTCGACACATCTAGAATCCAGAGATAAACATAAATATGTGAAAGACACAAAGCAACATGTCTCATATGAGCAGCAGCAGCAGTGCAGACTACTTCCACCATCATCACTATCATGAAGATCAATGATCATGATCAGGAGACCGGATGGGGAGGTAAATAGAAAAGCTGAGAACAGCCACCAAACCTATAAGCTTAACTGGAGCATTTTTTATTTCTTCTAGGATTTTTATTCTTTTTGTGTGGCTGCATTCATATTTCAGTGTTACACAAGAGCAGAAAATGTGCTTGTGATTTTGTTTCTGAAACCATAGGATGAGCTACAGTTGAATCATATTTTATCACTGAGGATTATATCAATGTGCCATCCAACCAAAGCATTCATGCTTATACTCAATTGCATTCAGTGTTAAACCATGTGAGTTATAAGTAATGATTTCAGAAAATGACAGTACTGCAACATCATTGAGTCATCCTTTGGTTCTTTCCCCTCTAAACAATCTGACTTTTCTGTAAAATGTTATATAGTGGCCCTCATAAGTAGTTCTTCAGAGTTTAGAAGTTTTTTCTTTGGAGTTTGGATGCTTTTTTACGAATAGTCTGCCCAGATTATGTGGAGTGTATAGAGACACAGCTTTGCTATTGAAGAGGTTGCTCTGCTCTAAACAGACGAGATCAAAATTAAAATTTTCGATGTGCAAAACACTGAGTGCTGCACATCATCCGCTGCACACCATCCCAAAGGTAAAACAAAGAGGTTGCAGCTTCATACTGTGGTTGATGGGGAAACAACACAGGGCAACCTTGAAGGGAATCTTTTCAAGACTGTAAAAGCCTAAACAGCAATGAAAAGGTTAAGATTGAAGCATATCTGTACATAGAGGGACCAAGACCTAAATTTAACACAGAATCACAGAACCCTGCAAACCGATTATCAGATTTCACCAATCCAACTAAATTGAGCTTGAGCGACTTTTCTTCAGAGCTATTCTACAGCCTTTATAGACTCTCATATTTTTGCAAGGCACTGTAGGTCAGAGGTAAGTGCATCATTGCAGAAAATAAATAACCCTCACTAAAGAAATGGGAAAAATACTGAGTAAAAAAGCACCCAAAGAAAATAAAAAGCTTTAAAAAACTCTAAAATCTGGAGAACTACCTATCAAGAAAAGAAAATCTACCTCATTAGAAGCAAAATTTAAATATATAATTGTTAAATATATAATCTTTGTGCCTTAAAGCAGCGGTCCCCAACCAACGGGCCGCGGACCGGTACCGGTCCGTCGGTCATTTGATACCGGGCCGCACAGAAAAAAGTGTGTGTGTATATATATATGTATATATATATATATACATATATTATTTATCGATGATCAGAGTCTGAGTGATGTTTTATTTTGAAAAATATTAAAAATTGCGGTATTCTCTCCCAATTACATTAGTCAGTGCATCTGTGCCTCTTGACACCGGTTAATTCAGTTCAAGACTCATCCTATCTATAACATCCTATCTTTGTGAAGCGGGATTTTCTGCGGTTACAGCGACCAAAACAAAGCTAAGGAGCAGACTGGACATCAGGAGCACACTTTGTGTGTCATTGTCTCTGATTATGCCTAGATGGGACTGGCTTGCTGTTTTATTTTTATGCTGTTTTTATTTGATTTTATACCAATCGTATCATTTTACTTGATCGTACCCCCCCGACCGGTCCGTGCAAATATTGTCTGACACATAGCGGTCCGTGGTGCAGAAAAGGTTGGGGACCGCTGCCTTAAAGTATGGCAAAACAACAGCAACACAAAATACACACAGAGGAAGATGCTGGATTTGTAATAAAATAAAGAATTCACTTTGCAGGAAATCCACAGAGTGAATGAGGGGAGTTATACTGGTGAAGATGGATCCGTTATTTATTCTGATAATCAGTCAGACACACAATAACATCACAGTCTTCACTGTTTCACCATTTAATCTTGGTCACCTATCTTTCTATCTAGGTAAAATCGTTCTTAATTTATATAGCTATAGACATGGATTTATTATAATTTATATATATTTATACAGTCTACTAGAACCGCTGAAACACACAAACCAGAGCCAATGATGAGAGGGTGATAAGGGAACACAGACTACGGCTACAATTCACCACATTGATACAAACAGGAGCTGCGGTGCAATACTCTAGCACTCTTTCTTCATTTCCTGATCTGCAGCTGTGAAACAGACTGGGTCCCCCTGCCATTAGCGTCAGACCAGCAGCAGAATGGAAAGAAAGGCATCAAAAGGGATATTTCAGTCAAATATCATTATGATTTGAGTTGAGTCATTACTTCATGCCATCTGTTGTGTTTCTCCTCCTTAAACCCATTAGCTATCAAACAGGATGAGTTTTAATGGGGGGAAAAAGTCCCCATATGTTCACAACAGGAGAAAGCTGGAGACTACTGATGATAAAAGTAAAACAGAGCAGATGGCATCATGCTCTGAACTCAATCCCACCAAAAATATCCCTTTCGGAGTAGTGCGGCTTTCCCATAACCCCTCGATACTCACTTAAAATATCTTTAAATTTTATATATTTTAAATTCATATATTAAATATTATATTGATTTTAGTGCAGCAGTTAGTGTCGACGTCACATGATGAGGGAGGTGTAGCCAATAGGTACCAGCCCCTCCTTGTCTCCCTGACGACATCGAATCCAATCCTGATCGACGCCTCCCAGCACCACCAGCTCTTCTCCTTTGCAGAAGCTGAGCTCCGAACCGGTTCCAGAGTGGTCACACAGCGTTCGAACAGACCTGAAGTAGAAGATCGGTTACAGTGATGCTGGTTCACAGAGGATGGAAAGAATGCCGTCAGCTAGCTTATGAGGAAGGACTATGTGAGTCACGATCAGGGCCTATCAGCAGGATGAGTCACCAGCCAGTTAAAAGTCCTTTGACCAGAGAACGGATAATAGGAGCTATTGTGGTCTCTGATACACCTACTGGGATTCTTGGAGGGTTCAGAAAAGCTGAGACGTCATGCTTTGTCTCTAAATATATGAGGTCATAATCTTTCAATGACTAATACATCCTGTTGTATAATTAATGGTTTAAATCTGATGATTTGATTTCATGTTAATAATGGCAGAATATGTTTTTAGAGATCCCGCGCCAATAGGGATTTGATTTTTATCTAAGCCCAGTGATTTTTAAAGCCTGTAAAATATTCAACGAGCCCTTCTTTCTTTCTTGTGATGATTATAAAAAAAAAAAAAAGAAAAAAGAAAAAGAGTATAGCTTTAAGCAGCTAAAACTGTCTTAATTTCACCATCAGTTTATGGGGTTTACCTGTATTGTCTGGGTCTTTCCATCATCTCCGTGCTGTCTGTTTTTTTCTCTGATTCCGTGTCCCTTCCTTCATGACATTCACTGGTTCCTCGTAGCGTTGGGCTGGAACTGCTGCTCACCATTCGGGTCAGAGCCGTGACACCAGGAGCAAACCACTGAGAAGGACGCCTATGGATTGGACAAATCACACAGACTGGGCCATGGGATTTAATACTAAACACATAGTTGGGATAAAACTATTGAAAGTTCAATTTTAATTCATTGAGAAAACAAACGAAAAAAAATTCAGTTCGATTTGACAATATCCGAGGTTAGAGCATAAAAAGAAATGTGTATTTCCATCCATCCATCCATCCATCCACACCATAGCCCCTAATTAGAGAGATAACTGGAAATCTGAATCAGGTAAGTTTTAGTTACTAATATTTTCAGAGGCTTTTATTTAATTCATTTATAAAAAGTTTATTTAAATAAACCAAGAATCATTCTTGTTTTATTTTTACATATTACTTCACTTTTTATGACTTTGTTTTCTGATTTGTTTGTTTTTTTACAGGTAAATGTTTTTGATTCTTTGTAAGAAAAAGAAAAAAAACAGGCTATATAAACTAAGAAATAAACCTTATTTTAGTTTTTTAAAGCAATGTTGGACTGCTCTTTGCTAAGCTACACTGTAAAGTCAGTGGCTGACCTGGTTGGTGGCATGTGACCCGTAGGGCTGTGTGGGCTTCTGGAAGCTCCAAAGAGTCGGCCCAGATTCCAGGGAACCTGAGTTCCACTGACAGAGGAGGAGTCACTCCCTGCCAGGTCCTGGACATCAGCATTACTGGCTTTTGTCTCCTCCTTCTTCACAGCAGAAAGGCTAAAATCAGCCAGGTTCTGGCTCAGCCGACCACCCCAGCGCACCACAGCTCCCCAGCCCTGCTGTATTACCTATAGTTACAGGAACAAAGAAAAGAAAAGTCAACTTGGCAGGTAAATGGAATTACATGTGGCTGAATAATTATGATGATAAAAACACGGACCTGTCCTGCTTGATGAGTAAAGCTATCCTCCTCAACATTAGGAAGGGGTAAAGTTTCAATTTCCTTTTCCTGGACCCACAACAGTTGAGGACTTGTTTGTCCAAAACTCACTGAAGCTTTCACAGGTTCAGAATCGGTACCCAATGATGACTCTGATCTCCCGTTAGAAATCGGCGAAGAATTTGTATTTTCTGAATGTTCTGGACTTCCAAAAGTCACTTCTGAGAGGGTTTCTATATATCCACCAGCTGTAGTTTTCTGTTGGCCAGTCGGTGACTGCTGGAGCCCAGCTTCCTGTTGGGGAGACCTGAGCATCTCAGGCCTGTGATCATCTGCCTCCAAATGATGGTGCTGGAAAAGCAGGTCCAGGTTGAAGGTGAGCAGGCTGAGGGGCTGCAGCACGAGGAGCAGCTCCTCAAACAGAGGCCTGCAGGAGCTCAGCGACAGACGCATAAAGGAAGTAGGGTGGTAATATGCCTCCAGCACATCTGAGATGAAGAAAAATATAAGTTATAGCAATAGTAAAAGCTTTTATACTTCCTATACTTTTTAGTTGTAAAGTATTCTGTCACAAAACAGCTTTTATTCCTACCTAAATTCAAGAAGAACACACAGTTGGAATCTATCAATGATGAGGTTTCTGAAGGGAATTATTTACACCTGATTTAATTCATCAATGCCAGAGTAAAGCTCTATTCAAATGCACACCTTATTATAGTATTACACATCAAATTAAAAAGACATTCAGATTCATGCAATTAAAGAAAGAAAACTTATTCAAAATTGTAACAAATTTTTAAGTCTATAACAGCAGATGAGTGTAAAGAAACCTGGTTGCCAAATACTAAGATATATATCCCCCACAAGCATACCTTTTTTCCTTCACTAAAAAAAAATCAGAGATTAGTGGGAGGTATTACTGATCGGTAGCTGGGTGGGAGCTGACATAAAATATCTAGTCTCCTTCATAAACTAGGAGAGTTGGCAAGCATGATAATGGCATTGTTTCCAATCAGGTGTGGTGTAGCAGAGCCCAGTTTTAGGCACACAAATTAAAAAAGCAACTAGTTACAGTTGCAAAGAGTGACTGAATTAGTAACTTAGTCACTGCACAGAATAATTACTAGAAAAGTTGCAATTCAGTTACTTTTTATGATCTAAAATTATGTATTTGGATCTCAGTCTGTTTAAGCAATCACACCCGCCAACATTACGGCTCCTAAACCAGTCGGCCTCATGGATGACCTACCTCAGCGTCTCTGCTCCGTTGTTTCACTTAAAAGAGAAAGCAGTCATCGCCTGAGTGTGACCTTGTGAAAAGCTGCATTGATTGTACGTTGTAATAACATACTGCTCCAGATTGCAAGCAACACAATGGTTTTACCAAAGTGTGAAAAGAAAATGGACTACTTTTTAAATAGAAAACTAATGCATTTACTAGTTCTCTCATAATGTAAACAGTACATCCAACACTGGCAGACACACATCTAGATAATGCAATGCAAAAAAACCCCTACCAAAATGTGTTTTTTTTTGTGTTCCTAAATGCAACATATCTCAAGAAATATGAGTAAATTTTCTAGGTCCTGTGACTCAATGAGATCTGTTTTGGGTTTAGAAACTTACCGCAGCAAGTCTGAAGATGAGACAGCCAGAAATCAAGAAGCTTGGAGCTGTGAGACAAAATCAGTATAAGACCACAGTAAGAACGTTTTTACAGGACAGAATGTCAAACTCTCAGACAGGGGTGAGTAACAAGAGCCTTTTCTTACTTTAGCAGACCAAGAAGGAATGCATTGAACCTCTGTTTGCTCTGTCTCAGCTGTGGCAGCTCGCCAACTCGGATTTGGAGGTTGAATAAGGCTTGAGTTTTGGGACCTTGTTAAATAGTTGGATGAGGCAGAATGAGAGAGAAAAAGAGGAAAACAGGGTTGAAATTAGGGGTGGGTATTGCCAAAGAAGTCACGATTCGATTCGAATCACGATTCACAGGCCACGATGCGATTCTATCACGATGCATCACGATACTTGAATTATTGCGATGCATTGCCATATTTTCTCCTCCATGTTTTGTTTTTGAATGACTCGGCACAGTATCCCACGGCCGAAAATGCTTGTGACACAAGGCAGCGTGCGTCAACACATTTGCAGCGACATCTACTGGACTGGAAGTGGTATTGCACTTGTTTTTGGCTGATGTTCGCCAACCATTCATGCAATTTTATTTATTCATTTTTTTAAATTAATAATCGATTCTTGGCATCAAGAATCGATTCAGTAGATCACGAAAATTAGAATCACGATGCATCATCATCACGATTATTTTGCACACCCCTAGTTGAAATACTGCTGTGACGCTTGGCACTCATAAACCGATCAATATCTACATTCAGCAGGTTCCTTTAATCAGCATTTTCAACAATAAATATCAACTGAGATGAAGTGAGGGAAAAAACTAAAGTTAAAGTTTACCATTGCCAAAAATTGAGAGACAGCTTCTTCCCACTGTTATATCACTTGATGCTTTGGATAATACCTGTCCTTGTTGTGGCCTGCACCAGACTCCAGGCTGAGTTTGGCCTCCAGCCTGCAATCAGATCACTCTGATGAGGTTTAAGGCCGTCGGTCAGCAAGTTGTGCAGGGCGGGGCAGAGGCACTGCAGCACCAGACGGCCCAGAGATGGATTTATAGTGCTGTCTCCTGATAAGGCCTGAGGAGAAGTAAACATGGGGAGGGAAATGGGATTGAGGGAGTTAAAAGGTTTGTGGCATTAGTGAAAAATCAGTTTCAAAGGAAAAGCTCAAGAGAAGAAAAGAAGAGAACAACAGGACTCATGGAAAAGTATTTAAAGGATTATTTGGTGACAAGACTATACAGAAAATAGTAAAAATGCAAATGTCATAATTTCTAATAACACACTGGAAAAATGATCTAAAAATAAATAATAATTTCTTAAATTAAGTGTATTCACCCTTGATTTGAGTAGGTAAATGCGATAGTTTGCCAAAGGAATCAGTATTTTTACTCACAATTAGATAATATTCACTTGAAATAAGACAATGCAATTGTGTTTTCTTATTTTAAATCCAAATTGTCTTGTTCCATTGGCAAGATGTCTCTTTTATCTCCTCAATTCAAGAGCAAATGCACTTATTTTAAGAAAAAAATGACTTATCAAGATTTTGATGTTTTTTTGCAATGCATTTGTAACTATTTTAAGCTTGTAACCTTCAAGTTTTATTCCATTTAACACCCCCAATCTGAGAAATATGTAAAATAGTTTACATATTCTAGAATAGATTTTCTTTCCCAAAAGTAGCCAGACAAAAAAACCCTATTGCAAACTATCCATTTAAAGCCATTTATTCACGTATTAAAAAGGATAAAAAGCTCTGCCACTCAAAGTAGTTAAAGAACTGACCTTCTGGACTACGGTCCGAGAAGAACTGAACTGAGCCAAGATGGCTTCCACTGCAGCGCTAACTCCACTGACCAGAGCTGAAGAACAGAAGCAACACAACACAACCCTGATTATAAGTTACTATGCAGCAGAGAAAAGCATGAAAATACACAAAAGGAGGAATGCAAACCTTTTTTCTCCTGGAGACATAGAGAGGTCAGACTGAGACCCCTCACTGGGTGATCCACATCCTCACCCATCCAGGGATCATCTGTCTTCAGTACAGAGCCGGCGAAAGAGACACTGCGAACGGCTTACAATAGTAGGGTAAGAACAATTACTTATAACGTCAATCTCTGCACAAAACCAAAATAATTGTTATTAGTAAGTAAAATAAGGCAGATGTAAGCAGATTGTGCTTTTAAGGGTGAGTAAGCACATCTTCTTGGTGTTGGGTCTACATTTACATCTGGATCCATGAGGATGACCTCCTATCAGCTTCAGAGTTAAAGTGAATCCATGCATTGATCTCAGCTTATAAACATATTGGGACAAAAATTAAATCTATAATAATTTACTGAATACTTCTAATTTATACCATAGATTTCCTTAAATGAGTCCTGAAGCTATACTCCAAACACTTCCAGGGAGAATATCAGGCTCATTTGACACAATTCAAATATTGTGATTCTTTTAAAGCCTCATATATCTTACATTTGGAAGAAAATTTAAGTAAGACAAGAACAAACGTCTAAAATGTATGTACAAACGAGTCATAACAGTCAATCTCAATTGTTTGTTTAAAGTTAAATAAATATCCTTCATTACTCTTATATTAACAGAAATACATATTGCATTACAATGAGTAGCCAATTTGACAGATTTATTTACTTAAAAGATAGGTTTAAAATTATTCACCTTGCAAAGCTAAATCTCAATATGACCAAGATCTATTTGAAAAGCAATACTAACCATAAAGTTCCCATTATGCAGTTTCCAAAGATAAATAATATCAGAGCATTTTACACCTTTAATGTGACTTCTAACCTCTATAGGTTATAATTAAACAATAAAAAGTAAAAATAAAAGTTCAAGTTTTTTGAGTCAAAGATAAACGTGGTTGAATAAATATGGGCACCCTTAGAATAATACTTTGCTGAAGCACCTTTTGGTTTTATTCCATCCTTCAGCCTTTTTGGATAGGATCCCATCAGAGCTGCAGAAAGGCAATATTCAGCCACTCTCCTCTGTAAAAGTGCTCCAACTTTATCAGAGGGAGTTCTTTAAAGTCAGGTATGAGCTCATGCTGAGCCCTTAGGAAAAAAAAGTATAATGTTTTTTCTAAAGAAGCCATTTTTATAATGGATTGAATATAAGGTTTGGGTTGCTAAAGTGCTGCTAGATGAAGATCATCTTCCAGCAGTCTAAATACAGTTCTAAAGCTGTCTCACTGCACGTATGGTGCTCTTTAGAAGATGGCAAAGATGTCCAAAAAACTATTCTTTGGTAATATGGCCAAAAAACTAACTTTGTTCCATCAGACCATAACATATTTTCACACACCTTTTTATGTTGCTTTGCATTTTTTTAGCCATTTTTAGGTGTTTCTCTACGATCTGTAGCTGTTTTTCCCAACATTCCACTCTATACCATAGTAAAAGCATATTATAAGAGATCATTGTCAAATATCCTACAAAGCGAATAGTTAACAAACCTCTTGCTGTTTGCCTCATGTAGCCCCCCTGAGCTATTTCCTCTCATCTAGGGCTGAAACATTTACTTATTATTATTGAGATAATTATTTATTATTGAAATAATTGTCAACTAATTTAGTACCGGTAATCAATAAATTGTTAAATGGAAAGTAAAGACTGTAAAACGTGCCTTTAGCTGACAAGCAAACCAGTTAAAGCAGCAATTATATGAAATTAAACAGAATATTTAAATATTTTGCATTTAAGTTAAAAAATATATATTTTTCGTCGGTCAATATGCTCTATCCAGAACTACTCAATAAGAAATGTTTTAATTTCACATGGTTTAACTTCTTTAAAAAACTTCTTTAAGGACCTTTGGCAATCTGGTCGTTAGTCTGTTCATTGAAAAATGTATCGATGAATTAATCGATTTGCAAAATAATTGTTAGTTGCAGGACTACTCTCATCTTTTAATCAGTTATAAAAGGGACATCTATCTTTGATAGTGCAGTTGTGGTCACTCAATAATGACTGCTTTTTAAATTTTCCCCAAAGGATATTAAATAACATGCTAATTAACTAGTAAACTTCTCCTTACATCTGGCAATTTGATCACTCTAATGCTTTAGAGCTCTCTGCATAGTACTGCTTTGCAAAAGCAAAAAAATAAATAAATAATCCCCAATTGAAAACAGAGAAAAATATTGTTTCTTTTAAGCTTTGAGGGACAGTTACACAAAATAAATACAGCTTTAGTCATTATTATAGTATAATAACTACACCTATAAAGATAATTACATTGAAAAATATAATCAAAGTGAAAAATGTATTTATATCTATTAAGATAAACCCAAATCTGAAAATGAAAGTAAAACAAAAATAAAGATGTAATGATGAAAGGTTTGCAATGATTTCTAACACGAGCTTGATTTGGTGCTTCAATTCAAACCTATGATCTGTTTAAAGAGGGTGTACAAGCTCATTCAACCACGTATTGCTTTTTTAAGTCTTATATACCTTAACCCCTCCTAAAAAGAAAACAAATAAAATATTGTTCAATTTATAAAGTTTAAAGGGTTCATGAAATGTAGAGAAGTTCTAAAATGATTTACCCTGATCTCATTTAGCTGGACATCTTTTAAAGCCCTTGTAAACAGGGATTTAACAGATGTCAAAGTGTGAGACAACAAACAAATGGATAACTTTAAACATCAATCCCATTAGTTCCTATTATTTTTTTTCTTTAATAAAACGTCTACTGTTCTGTCAATGTGTTTTGATTGAGATGCATGTGTCCATTTTAACACATCATGCAGAAAGCAAAGAAAAACAAGCAGAGCAGGCAGAACATATCAACCTGACAAACAGACAGAGGACAAAGAGAGACAGACTGAGCAGAGTGGCTGTAGACACACTGTGACAGGACCAGCTGTTCCCCGCCTGAACACCATCTAGCAGATTTGACAGATAGGAGATAGGGTGGCAGGATATATCAGATGACCATGGGAGCTGCCCGCTTATATGATAAACAACTACTTTCATATCTGGAAAACTCCCCCAAATGCTGAAAAAAGGAACAGCTGCTCCAGAGTGATAAACACAGAAAATGTCTGACACAAAAAAAAAGAGAGAGGAAGAAAATGTAAAATGCAAATGTAGGAGAGAAACTCTTACTCGACACATGTGGCTGCCGAGGACCCTGGTAGAATTTAGGGGGTAGGGGGGGTGCACTGGGTGGGATGGGGGGGTAAAGATTGGGGTAATAGAGGGGAGCAGCGAGGGCAGGGAGGGTGTGTGAGCGCGGGAAGAGCGGGGAGTTGAGGCAAGAGAGCGAGGGAGCTCCTGATCTTTGTGGAGGGGATAGGGCGCCGATGGGTGAGAGGCGGGGTGGCGCTCCCCGGTGGAGTGGGCAGTTTTTAGGGTGGTACAAGTAGCATGTGGGGAGAGGGGGGAGCTCTTTGGACATTCTAGCCTTAATACTGCTTTCGTCGGCATGGGAGCGCCTCTCTGAATACAGAGAATCAGCATTGATGCTGTCAGAGTAAGTCATCATGACTTCTATGTTCTTATACGGGGTGGTGCATCCCTGCGCCCCGGAGGTGCCACTAAACAAAGCGTGGGTGTTGCTTTGCTTCTCAGAGTCTCTGCTGTAAAGTGAGTCAAAATTACACTTCCAATCCAAGTCCTCTGTGTTTGTTTTGGGATCACTGACGTATTTATAAGCTGACTGTGAGTTTTCACTGAAAATGTCTCTGTAGTAATCAGGAGAGTCTGCACCATAACCAGCCAGGGAATCCTTAAATCCAGAGCCCACAAGAGAGCTGGAGTCGTCTCTGTGGATACAAGGTGAGCCTGCAGCAGCAGGACTCCACTGTTCACTGGAGGACCATGGATCTGCAAGGAGCTGGGAGCTACGGGGGTCTGGGGGATGGGGAGGGAGGGTGGAGTGCAGGAAGTAGGGTTGGGAGGATCGCGCAAGGCACAGTGGGGGCGAGGAAACTGTTTGATTCAGAGTATTAGAGCGGGACATTTTAATCAGGGTAGGGCAGACGCAAAGCCAAGCAATGGACATAGAATGAATACAACCGAGTGGGATGGATGGGTCAGAAAAACAAGGTGAGATAATGCAGCAAAGAAATGGGAAGGAGAAAGAGAGAGAGATGTAGAGAATGTTAGTGTAAAACAGGAGAAAAATCCACAATCCTGCCAACATTTTCAGCAGAAATCTTCATCACATTGAGCAATAAAGCATTTAAACATGGCTGACATTTAAAAACTGACCAGGGGAGACAGTAAGGCTGATTTAAGAAGGACATTTCCACACTTTTTGTATGCAAGAGCACAGTTTATCAAAACAGAAGGTTATTCTGTGGCTGTAACTAGTTTAATCCTCAGACCTCAGTCTGTCCCATTTGGGATGTTCTGACTGCAAATAATCGGCTGTTAGTTCCTAGTTTGCATTTGTTTTTGTATCAGTAGACGAAATATAAAGGGAATCTGAAAGCACCTGAGAAAAGGATTATGATATGACCAGCAGATGGCAGCTTTGAACAGAAATCTTTTTATTTTCCAATTTTGAAAAAAAAAAAAAAAAAAATTTAACTTTACCATGTTCGCTTCTACTTTTCTCTACAGGTATTAGGTTGTTATAGTATTTAGAAAGTATTCCATAAAGCATAAGGGGTGATTTTGTAGTCTAATTTTCTTAAAACTATCAGTGAAGCAGGGAATCCTTCCAACTGAAACTACACTGCCTTAAAAAAAAAATCCACACCTCTTGATTTTTTGACATTTTCTATGCAACAGCCACACATTTCAATGTTTTTCACTGAAATTAATATGACAGACCAACCAGTGAGTGAAAATCTTTGTAGAGCAACCATTTGCTCGACAATCAACATGTGTAGAATATCATATCTGTATGATTCCAGCTGTTCTAAAACGGTCTGTTTGTTCGAGGATATTAGGGAATAAACGGCCTTAACTAACAAGATGGGCAGAAAAAGAATTACTCAGATAAGTAGCCAAGAGGCAGATCTACAGATCTGGTGAAAGAGGCAGTTGTAACCGTTTGGCCTGGATGGACAATGCTATGATGAAATATAGTGCTATGCATGTAGGAATGGGATAGAATGCAAACACATCAGACCATATTCATGCACTAAAAGTTCAATCCTAATTGGGAATCAAGAACATGTTGTCAAACTTGAAAATTATTGTTCCCACAAATAGAAAAAGTCAGCAAACATCAATATGACTAAATTAACAGAAATGTCAGGCTATAGATTTGGAAGGCTAACAGAAATACAGTTATAGGAATTGTAGGCATGATAACAGCAAAAACCAGGTCAGGGAAGGAGAGATGCTGACAAAATAAAAATACATGTTTACATTTTTTGGTATTCTTAAAAAAAAAAAAAAAAAAAAAAAACCCGATCCAAATCCCAATATAAAACATTAAGGGGTTTGATTGTCTTGTGGCTAACTGTGAGAAAGCTGAAGGAGTATAAATACTTATGCAGGCCAGTGTGTGTTTGAATTTCTACCTCTTTTTCATGCTGTGTAAATTGGAGGTTATAAATTGTAGGACAAAGTAAATTAGTGCAGATGTTTTTAAGTGCACGGCAGTCGTCTGCCATCTCTGGATCACCTTCCCTCTGATTTTTTTTCTTGTTTCCTCCTCTGCCTTAACCTTCCTGTCCTCTCCAGCAGTAGCAGCAGTCAGCATATGAATGCTGAGTCAGTAGACAGAGATAACTCATCTCAGCCTCTATCCTTGCCTCTGAAGAGCTTCTCAAAGGTGCAACTTCTCTGCTAATCTAAAAAAAGCTTAGAGAGTAGTCGTACCTTGTTTAGAATTCTGCTTCCTTTGAACGGTAGTCAACATATGATACTTCCTATTATAAGAAAACTCCTGTAGCAATTGGCCTATACACTGAGATCCACCCCTTTGGCTCTTAAAGGTGTACACACCTTTTCTCAGTCAGTTTCTTTTTCATTTCACTGCAGTTATTTCATGAAAAACATTTATCTTGTTCATTTGTTTAAAAGTTTTAGGTAAAATTTTGAACTATTATAGATTTTAGGAAGTAGAAATGCTTAACTATTAAGCTTAATTAATTAATGTTGAGTTATTTTTTGGACACTAATTTGAGTCTGAGTTTCTAACAGACTTTTTTACAGCACTGGATCTAATTTGATCTGAGAAATCAGAAATAAACCAGGATGGAAGAGGCAGTGTGGAAGCAGTAGTGTAGCCGTCCTGCACATCAGAAACTGATGGGATTTAAATCTACAGTGCTGTAAAAAAACAAAAAAAACAAATTGACAATAAAATCCAGCAGAATAATATTCTGTGAGTCCACGTCTAAATGGTTCAGGACAGGATAAAAACAGAAAGAAGGTTTTGGGTTGGCCAAAGTCTAAACGTAAAACAGATTCAGATGCATGGCTTAAAAACAGAATTACGTACTCCAGAGGAAGGAGGGATAAAGTGGACAAATAATGGAATAATAAAGGAAAATAGCAAACACAAAAAGGAATGGATATTAGAAAAACAGTGGGAAGGAGAATAAAGTTTAGAAATACAAATATTTTAAATTTATTTATTTTTTTAACCAGGGAGATATGAAATGAGGTAACTAATAGTTTTCAGGACTGCATAAAAAGCCTGATAAGAAAAACAGACAAGTGAGGATTTAAGAGGAAAAAAGGATAATAAATTATTCTTCGATGCTCTCCATTATCCCCCAACCCTTATTAGTATGAAGAGACAATAAATAATTCAATAAGTTTATGATGAAATCACACTTTGATAACCAGTAGAGGATGCGCTGGCTGGAAAGTTTCCAACCACCTCCCTTATGTCATATTACCTCATCTATCCTCATGGTTGTTCCAGCTTCTGCCTCCCTCTCTCCCTAAACTCTCGGTCTCTACCTCTCATTATCTGCCATCCATCAAATTATCCCTACTTTCACTCTGAGTCATGTTCAGTGTACCATTACCTTTAATGAGTCAACATTTTCATCTTTCAAGAAAAGATGGGGGAGAACATCCAAGAAAATTATCTCTGCAAGATGATCTGCCTTATTGCTACCTCTACTCTTCCATTTACATTATCTTATCATTTCAACTTTAATGTATAGTGTGTAATGTACACATAATTACGCAAACTTTCAGGATTATGCAATGTCTCATGTTTCTTCATTTTTTACGTCCAAAAAACCCTGACTGAATCCTTCAGAAATATTTTGACACCACGTCTAATAAATGTGAAAGGAAACTAGCAATGCATAAAACCATGAAAACTCATCTTCATACTGCTTTTTTTTTTAAAGATTAGAGCCACAAGAAAAAATTTAACTGATTTTTAATTTTATTTGAGTTTAATATGGGGGGAAAAGTCTTCCAAGAATCTGAGAAAAGGGTCAGACTTCTGACATTAAAGGCAGTATTCTGGGGAAAAAAGTCAGAATCCTGAGACTCAAGTCAGAATTATGAGAAAAAAGTGAGAATCCTGAGACTAAAATCAGAATTCTGACTTTTTCCCCCATACTAAACTCGAATAAAATAAAGTAAATCAGTTAACTAACACTAATCCACCACCATAGCTTTTGCTGTACTTTGACAGCTGCAAAAGACTTGAGACTGTTCACCTTTGAGCAGGATACACACAGTGAGCTTCAATGGACTGGTTTAGATTAAAGCATATTGATGTGCTAGAATGGTCCAGTCAAAGTCCAGACCGAAATATATTTCCAATTATCTAATTGCCAAAGTTTCAGGTACTTATAATGGAAGAGAAAAAAAAAAATAACACTATCCAGGTGTGTAAAGCCAGTACAGACATATCCAAAAATATATGCAGCAAAGGCAGTCCCACAGAGTACATGTAATGTTTGAACTGATCTGTTATTTTCCCTCCACTTCACAATGTCATCCGGCCTTGTGTTGGTTTATTATGTAAAATCCCAATGAAACACACCAATGTTCTGGCTGTATTATAGCAAATGTTAAAAAATTCAAAAGGTATGCAGCATAAAAAACAGATCTTTTTTCTCCTTGCAATTTTTCATAGATTCGTCTAAAGAAAAAGTACAAAATCGCCTGCTGCTAACAAAGTGTCTCTTTTTTGTGCACAAATGAAAATAAAAAAACAGCAAATCTAGACACTTTTGTAATATGAGCTGGAGAACTGTTTTTTTTTTTTTTATCTTTTTCATAACATGTAGACTTAGCATGAAAGCTCTACTCACCAGTTGTACTTGATTCATAAGTTCTCCCTCCATCGGCCCGGCCTCTCACCTCCACTTTCTCCTTTCCTTCCTCTATCTTCCTTTCCTTCATCTCTTGCTGAAGTTCCCCAGTCTCTCTTTCTTGGCCGACGTTCCACAGGCTACTGTCGCTGCCTGAGCAGCCGATCTTCTGTGTCGGACACAGCTCCAACTGCCCACCCTCCTTGTCAGCTCTCTGCAGCATCTCCTTCAGGGCAGCCATGGAGGTGAGGGCTGGGGGCGGCTGCATGAAGAGAGTCTGGGCCTGTGATGTGTACTCCCACTGGCTGCCATCGCTGCCTGCCTTCTCTCTCCTCCACCTCAAGTTGTAGAGTATATCAGGGTCAGGGGTAATAACGGTGGGGTCGGGCTCAGGATCGGTGATCACCTTCGTCGGAGGGGAGGTGTTCTTATTGCGGAAACGAAGCTCTTTAAATGTAGTGACCTTTGGACCAGAGTCTGAAGATGAACTTGATGAAGAGAGCTTCTTGGGGATTTCAGAGGTGGATTTGTTCTTCTCCAGTTCTGTAATCTGTGGGGGGGTTTCACATTCGGGTGTGAATGCTATAAGCCAATCAAAGCACTCAGGTTGCTCTGAGTTAGCAAGCAAAGTGCTAACTTTAAGGGGGGCTGAAGACGGGGGGATTGGAGGCAGTGGGCGAGGAGGTGGAGGAGGTGGTGGAGAATTTGGTAACTCATTTGGGTAAGGGAAATTATTCACCCTCGCTTCATGCGAATTACTAAAAGTTGTGCTGTAGTAATGGTCACTTATCGAAGCAGTGTTCTTCTTTCTTCTTCTTGCAATCTCCGAAAACGAGGTCGTTCTTTGTTTGTCTTTGCCTTCCCCCTCTTTATTGCTTTCTTCAGATGCTTTCCCATCTCCATCCACTTTGCCTGTGTCGTTTTCTCTCTCTTCCACCCCGTCTTGTAATCTGAACTCTCTGGTCTCCGGAGATCTGGATGTAAAATGATTATCTGCTTCCTCCTCATCCTCCAGCTCCCCGACACAGACACCGAGCTCAGGGCTGAGTTTGAGGAGCTCGGCCTGGGTTAGTCCTGCCAGCATTAGCAGCTTCTGGATCTCAACATCCAATGCGTGGAAGGAGGGGGGAGGGGGCAGTGCAGGTGGAGGTGGTATGGCGGGTGGAGTAGAGGAGCAGCTCACTGAAATGACAGGTGGAGGAGGCAAGGGTGGAGGGCGTGTGGTGGGAGGTGGAAGGGAGAGGGGGGTCATTTCCTGCTCGGCTTGAAGAGCAGCAAGGCGTTGTGCCTCTTTTCTGGCGAGGTGTCGCTTTCGGGGTGGAGGGATGGGAGGGGTTGGTGTGGGGATGGATGGAGGTGGAGAAGGAGTTGTATAGAGGGTGAGGTAAGGGACCGGTTTGGAGGCAGGGAGAGGAGGGATGGATGGCGGAGATGGGGGGAGTGATTTCTCGTATCGAAATGTTGAAAATGTAGGGGAAGAGGAGTTGGGGGAGAAAGTGGACAAGGTGGGGGAGGTGGTGACGGCTATGGAAGTGGTCTCCCTACTGATATTAATGTAGGTGTGGAGGTCGGAGCTAACGCTGGCATGACGGGCAGGAGGTTTGGGGGGTCTGGGTGGCAGCTCCATAGGGGAAGGGGTGAGGGATTCCGGAACAAGTGGATCATCGCAGTCAGACGGAGCGGTGAGGTCAACCCCGGCATCAGAAAACTCCTGAGATTCCCCCATTGCTCCGTCACGGGTTTTAGAGAGCTTCCAGGAAATGTCGATGTTCCCCATTTCATCCATGATGTCAGAGAGGTCCTGTTCCTCCAGATCTCCAAGATCAAACCCCTTCTCATGAAGTCTGGCAACATAAGCTAGCTTCACCTCCCCGTTCACTTTTTCCAAACGATCGAGGTGATCAAGGCGATCCCTCAGCACATCCCAGTGTTGCTCTCCTTCCAGATCCCAGCGAGCAACTTGGATAACCTGGCTGAAGCGCTCCATTTTCCCAAACTCCCCTACAGACTCTAAGAAATCAAGCAAGTCTAGTTTGTTAGCATCAGAGTCACGTTTTACACCCAAGTAGTCAGGAGATGGTGAGTCAAGTGCAGAGGGATAGCCCTCATCAGGGGAGCAAGAAGAAACTGCTGAACGGGAGTTTAGGGAGAAGGGATTATTGTTAAGTGGAAGAGACGAAGGAGGTTTGAACTCTGGGAATTGTATGAGTGGATGGTCTTTGGGGTTTAATGTGGCAGAAAGGTGGTCCTGGTCCTGAGAGGAGCCCATGGAAGCGCACTGATCGGCACAGTCAGACTCCAGGTCGGAGCAGGAGCTGATGGAAGTGGAGGACGATGAGGTGGAGGAGGACAGAGAGAATTCTAAGAGGGATGGGGGGCAGTCACAGCATGACGGCACCAGTGTGTCATCATCCTCATCATCATCACTATCTGTCTCGTCGTCATCCTCATCTACATCAATAGCAACATTTCTGCCTCTTCCTTCCTCTGCATCTTCTTCATCTACTTTTTTGTTCTCCACGTTTTTGTTTTTGTCTGTTTTTTTTACATCGCTCTCCACATTGGCGGCAGATTTGGCAGGGGGCTCCGCATGCGCAGGAGCAGCTTCTTTGGCCACCATAGCCCCGGTGTTGTGGGCCACCTGAGTCACAGGAGGAGGAGGAGGCAGCTGTAGCTGCTGCCTAATGGACACGGTGTTATTGTTGTTATGGTTGTGGTTGAACATGCTGTTGTTGTCCTGAGGAGAGCGCCCATCACAGCACAGGCAGGGGAGGCTGGGCTCATTGCAGTTTGGATCCAGGGGGAGGGCGGAGGGGAGCGGAGGAGGAGGAGCAGCAACTACTGGTGCGATCTGGGTCACAACAGATGGGCGAGCGCTCTTCAGTTTGGGTTTAGGCGATCTGGAGATGATGGAACCTTGTTTCTGAGAGCTCAGTCTGGACTGGATTACTGGAGCTTTTGGCTGTGCAACCATCCTGCTCTTGGAAGAAGCAGTGGGGGCTTTAGAAGCCCGCCGTGGAGACGAATTGGTGATTGTGTTCATGTTTTTATCTTCCCTCTGAAAACTAGAGACACGAAGCTTGGACCCAGTTGAGTTAGCTGTCCGCCGACTGGCATCAAAACGCCGCGGCTTTGCGGCCTGCGAGGAGGACTGCATCATGGGAATGGGACTATTAAAGATTATCTGATAGTTCTGTTGCTATAGAAACTGTTGCTGAAATTTGTGGACGGATCCTGTTTATGACGCACCGTAAGAGTCACATCTTGGCTGGACGCCTAAGATCCTGCAACACCAAAAGAGACACATGGTGAATAATTCCAAGGAGTAAATTCTGCAAATCAAACACCAGTTTCCAAGTCTACACGTGTCTTTGTGTCACATTATATGCAAGCACAATCATAGACACTAATATAGTCATTAAAACACAGTTTTACAAATAGACAAAATCTCAGCAAAGCATTTTTTTCAAAATCCAGAGATATCTGACATCATTTTCTAACGTTTGTCAATTTTTAATAACCAAACTTCTGCATATCTACAGTCCCTTACAAAGGCAAGGATAGTCTTGTATGGCTCTAAATCTTAGTGCTGTTTGTTTTGTACCGTAATGTTTTTCCAATAGTTTTAAAGAAGCTCGAGCTCCAAGCTTAGAAATAAAGATTTCACTAAATATGATTTAAAAGCATCAGAATAGAACAAAACACATGTGCCATGTAAAAAAGCCCTTTGTTTTCCTTTCATATATAACATCCAAAAAAATGTAGTTTATCCTTAAACTGTAACAAGCTAAGGCTTTTATATAGAGCTATCAATTTAATCACAAAGCTTTCTCCATATGTATGAGTTGACAGCGTTTTCATCAATGCCACCAGCTAATAAAACGAAAGAAGATGCATGATAAATAAAAAGGAGTCTAAAAAAATAAACAAAAACCTCCTCCATACCTGGAGCAAAATGTCGATGTAACTGGAGCATAAAAAAATCAGTTCAGCACATGAGTGTGTCCTTCTCTTCTTTGAACCAACCCACCCAGGGCTATATCTACATTGAATATATATATATATATATATATATATATATATATATATATATATATATATATATATATATATATATATATATATATATATATTTATTTATACATGTGTGTATATATGTATATATATATTTATTTATACATGTGTGTATATATGTATATATATAAATATATATATAGTATATATATATATATATATATATATATATACACATGTAAACACACACACATACGTATGTATATATATATATATATATATATATATATATATATATATATATATATATTTTTTTTTTTTTTTTTTTTTTTTTTTTTTTTTTCCCCAGTAAATATATTTTTCAACAGTGCTCTTCACACCGACGCGAATATTAATGACTCCAGCTGTGTTTGTGCTTAGGATTGAAGCTACTGAAGCTATGAAGTGAAACAGGGCCAAACAGCCTATCCCCGCATGTGTTCGGATGGACGGTCCCGTGCAGAACCTAGTTTGCATTGATCCCACGGAGCGGATGGAGACAGTGCTGTGGACGGGTGGAGGAGGGTGTGGGTGTGGGGGGGGGATACATCCATCCGCATCGCTCTGATAAAGAGGCCCACACGCCCCATTTATTATGCTTAAAATATAAGGCTCAATTTAACCCCTGCTCAATTTTAAATCCCTATGTCAATATTAATAGATTAAAAAAACGAAATATTTAAATCTACACGTTGTACCAAATCACAGGGTTACACACATAATTCATGTTTTGACATGGCAGTTCTCGGACTTTAATCGTTAAAGCTACTAAAAACCTACGTATTTGTGTATGGGTAAAAATTAAATATTAAAAAGACTCACGTTTGCTTCGTTTAAAGATGGGTGAAGGTCTCCATCTCCTCCGTCTCTCTCACATCCAAGTCAGGGAGGATGTGGATTCTTCTCGTTGGTAACGGCCGTATCCCTTGTCTTCTCGCGAGATTACATAAACTCCTTCTTTTCCCGGACAACCCCCTCCAACCTTAACTCCATCCTCTCAAAGTCATACTTACATTTCGTTTTAAAAGGATTTTCTTTAATTGCTACCAAACTGGTGAAGCCTATTTTCAAAAATACATTTATTTATAATGAATTTCTTTTAAAGCATTTTTTAATCATAGACATGGGCGTATTTAGGAGCATTGGGACCCTAGGCAAAGGCATGCATTGGGCCCTCTGAATTGAAAAGACAACACATGAAACAGACCCATTACACAGACACAGAATTTTATCTTAAATTTAATTATTTATAAATAACCCCTTTTTTTTTTTTTTAATAAAAGTGCTAGAGGGGTCTGAAAAGTCGCAACATATAGCGACAAAAGCACATAGGGCAAATCTGCAACACTACTCTTAGACTTAGACTTTTTTAGACTTAGATTTATTTTTCATTTTGTTTACACAGGTGTAAAACAAAAAGAATTTTCATTTGGAACAGCTCTCTGGACAATTTCATCTTTTTAAAAGTGCAGACTTTAAAAATAGTAAAAAATATAGATGTATAAAAAACAGTAATATAAACATATGACTGTAAATTTACAGTTCTAACATATTTTTTTTTTCCCAGTTTGTTTTCAAATGGTTTCCTGCTGACTGAACCTGGACCAGCAAATGGACTGATCCGATGTGGTGGACACTGGGAGGGCACTTAATATTATAAGCATTCTGATGGCATTTTATCAAAAACATAATTAATGTGCACAAACGAGTAATACCTGTATTAACCATACGTGTAAAAGGAGGTTTATGGGGCCCCCATGAACTTGGAGCCCAAGGCAACTGCCTAGTTTTGCCTAACGATAAATCCGCCCCTGATCATAGATGTATTTCGTGCAAATTTTCAGCAAAATAAAACAGCTAATTCTGCTTTTTCTAAACTAGTGGTTACAGAGTAGTTGCCTCTCAATGAATGAGAATATAACCAAAAAGTTAATTTATTCAATATAATAGAGAAATGTGCAATTACTATTTGATGCCCTATGTTTCTCTATATCTGACACCCACTGCAATAACCACACACATATATATATATATATATATATATAAATATCTATCTATATACCCATGTAAACATCCTGTGCAATAACCCTGTATAATATCCTAGAAAAAAAAAAAAAAAGCTGTTATATGTGGATGCATTGTATGGTATATACTGTATACATCCTATGCACCTTTTTCTTCCTTTGGCACCTTCTTCTTCTTCTTTGACTATTTGAGCTGCTGTAACAAGTTAATTTCTCTACTGCAAGATCAATAAAGTCAATCAATCAATTGAACCATCAGTTGTCTTAATGAGTATCAAACCTCATCTAATACAGATAATTTTTTTCTGGGTATGTTGTATTTTCCCCCTTAGGCCTTGCATTGTTAATTCTTCTCGCACAGGAAACAAATACAAAAGACAGATTGTAAATAATTTATTAGGTGCAATGACATAAGAGGTGATTAGGTACGTCATAAAAAAAAATACTTTAAAAAGGTGTGAGGAAATCATCGGCCAGTACATGTCTGCTTTAACGAAAGCACTGCCCCTTCCTGAGCTCCACTAAACCCTTTAACATTTTCGTCTATATAAACACCTTGTTGAGAATTTAAGGACCAAATGAGCCCTTTATTTCACCATATACGGCTGTGCAATGACAATCACCAAACCTTTTTAACTTAATGAAAAGCTACTGAAATATTTCTGATCAGATTTCTCTGAAACTTCACCCAAAAAGTGAGATGACCTGATCTTTTCAACTCTGAGTTCATTTCAGATTTTTTGTTTTGCTGCTTTCTTAAGAGACAGCTCCAACACCTCATTTGTTCCTCTTGTAAATCTTCTTGGCAAAGTTGAGGAAGATGGCGTGAGGAAGGTTCTGAGCGTGCTGTGCGATGAGTTTCTGCAGCCGCTGATAGCTCTCCTCTTCGTAGGTGTGATACAGCATTGGCATTTGGAGGGAGTTGTAGAGCTCTTTGACCTTTGCCACGCTGGCCTCATCCTTGCGGCCGTAGCAAGCCTGTGGGAGGGATACAGGAAAAGATCAGGTCTGGATGCATTTGACAGAAGAGGTCTCATATTTTCTACAATATGGAATCGAGAGCATTGTGAAGTAAAATATTTTTTAATGATTAACACCGGTGGAAAAAAACAACAACCTTTGATTAACTTTAGAGATTAAATAGTTCCTCTACACTGCAAAAACAATCCAGAAATAAGTAAAAAATTGCTTAAATTAAGTATATTTAGCCTTAATTTGAGCAGGTAAATAAGATGATTTGCCAATGGAATGAGTATTTTCACTCTTAAAATAAGATAGTTAGATAATATGCAATTGAAATAAGAAGATAAAATAGTTTTTCCTTATTTTAAAAGGAAATTGTCTTGTTCCATTGGAAAATTGTCTTACTTACCTTCTCAAATCAAGGAAAAACGCACTTATTTTAAGAAAAAATAACTTATTGAGATTTCTATTTTTTGCAGTGTAGTACTGACCAAAAAAGTGAGTTTCAAAGTTTCTCATGAAGTTTCACACTTGTTTTGACAACCCAAGATTTTAATATTGTCCTCTCTTATGGGGTATGAAAAAAAGGGGTTTTTGACTGTAAATATGTCCTAGCAAGAGGTTCATTGAGACAGTATTGTTAAAAACTATTTCATTATGAATCATATTTTATTTAACTTCAATGCTCCAAAGAGGGACCAGAACTAAACTGAAAGAAAAAAAAATTATAAGTCTGAAAGAGAATCTGTGTTACACAGAAAACATAAAGGTAAACTAGACCGTATGGCTAAGCACATATTCACCTGACCACCGTTAATCTGTGGATGGCAACTAATCATTTAATATTTATATTTATTATAAATGACAAAGAAGGAGAAACAAGAGCAATAAACCAAGGGTAAAAGGTGAAAAAAGCAAAGGAACCCTTTCCCATATTATTCAATAATGTAACTAAACAGTAGATTAATAAATAGTTATTAAAATGATTACGGTAAATAAACTAAATATAAAAATCATTAGCGTTCTCTGGCAAAAACCAGTGAAAATAGGAAGAGCTGAAATTACAACAGAGTGACCAAATTGGTCTGAAGGATGGATGTGTTGATGGATGCAGAGAGAAAGCCATCATGTGCAACTTTAAAAAGGTTCTCAGATTTAAATGCATTTCCATGGATCTGCATGTAAAATGGTGGTTAGTATAGTACCCTCTGAAAAATCCAGGGATGGATGCACTCGGAAGAGATGAATATTGTTTCTTAAGACCAATGTATTAAGTGCATTGGCAGGTACTTAGCAACCTGACGATGCCCTACAATAAAGTAAAGGGAACGCAGCATGAGCATCATGGTGGTACACCATAAACAGCTGGATAGTGGGCAACATACAGTAGCCAGCATATCTACAGGCTTAGATTAAACACTGTTCAACAAGGGATATCCATACAGCAATATAAATTGTAATCTTTTAATGCTGTATAACATTTAGATAAACTTTGGGCCCTTTAGGATAGTGCATCATCAAGATATGTTAGTAGAATGGAAATAATGTATCACAAATATCACCTCTAAAACAGATCTCTGCTGAGGAGTCATTACTTCCAGAGCCTTCACAACCAACCAGCTGCATTTGTTGTCCTGGATGTCTGTTCCGATCTTTCCAGTCACTGCAGGGTCACCATAACAGTCCAAGAAGTCATCCTGCAAAATTAGATATACAGACAGCCTATTAACACAGCAGACATGGCAACAGTCAGAAACCCGATAACATAACAAGGAGGTACCTGTATTTGGAAAAACTCTCCCATCTCCAGTAAGATGTGTTTTGCATTGTTGTGTTCCTCCTCACTATCAATTCCTGCCTGCAGGAACAAAGGCAGAGCATGTGATGGGAACAAGCTACATGCTTTCATTACTTCCCGAGGCCATGCTGTGCTGCCTTATCTTGTTCTGGCCTTGTCCAAGAAACAATTTGTTCCTCCTTCTTTATCATTGTTACTATTATCATTTATAAATGCCAGCATGCTCACCATGTACATTGCAGAGGCTACTGGGAGATAAAAAGAGTAAAAGGCAGTCTTGTACTTCACAATGGCCTTATACCTGGAATGGAGAAAATAAAAAGTCATTACGTACATTTATTGATCATTTGAGACATCTCCTACGACACAAGAACGGCAACAACTTCTGCAATGGATAATGCAGGTGCAATTACTATTTGATATCCTGTGCAATAGCCTGTTTCTCTTTATATTGATACCCATCATCCACACATAAAAAAAAGAAATAAATATTAATCTATATAAATACCCATGTAAACGCCCTGTGCAATAACCCTGTATAATAATTCCTCTATAAAAAAAAAAAAAAAACCTGTCTTAAGTGGATGCACTGTATATATATATATATATATATATATATATATATATATATATATATATATATATATATATATACACTCACTGGCCACTTTATTAGGTACCCCATGCTAGTAACGGGTTGGACCACCTTTTGCCTTCAGAACTGCCTCAATTCTTCGTGGCATAGATTCAACAAGGTGCTGGAAGCATTCCTCAGGGAGGTTGGTCCCTACTGACATGATGGCATCACACAGTTGCCGCAGATTTGTCGGCTGCACATCCATGATGCGAATCTCCCGTTCCACCACATCCCAAAGATGCTCTATTGGATTGAGATCTGGTGACTGTGGAGGCCATTTGAGTACAGTGAACTCATTGTCATGTTCAAGAAACCAGTCTGAGATGATTCCAGCTTTATGACATGGCGCATTATCCTGCTGAAAGTAGCCATCAGAAGTTGGGTACATTGTGGTCATAAAGGGATGGACATGGTCAGCAACAATACTCAGGTAGGCTGTGGCGTTGCAGCGATGCTCAATTGGTACCAAGGGGCCCAAAGAGTGCCAAGAAAATATTCCCCACATCATGACACCACCACCACCAGCCTGAACCGTTGATACAAGGCAGGATGGATCCATGCTTTCATGTTGTAGACGCCAAATTCTGACCCAACCATCCGAATGTCGCAGCAGAAATCGAGACTCATCAGACCAGGCAACGTTTTTCCAATCTTCTATGGTTCAATTTCGATGAGCTTGTGAAAATTGTAGCCTCAGTTTCCTGTTCTCAGCTGAAAGGAGTGGCACCCGGTGTGGTCTTCTGCTGCTGTAGCCCATCTGCCTCAAAGTTCGACGTACTGTGCGTTCAGAGATGCTCTTCTGCCCACCTTGGTTGTAACGGGTGGTTATTTGAGTCACTGTTGCCCTTCTATCAGCTCGAACCAGTCTGGCCATTCTCCTCTGACCTCTGGCATCAACAAGGCATTTCCGCCCACAGAACTGCCGCTCACTGGATGTTTTTTCCTTTTTCGGACCATTCTCTGTAAACCCTAGAGATGGTTGTGCGTGAAAATCCCAGTAGATCAGCAGTTTCTGAAATACTCAGACCAGCCCTTCTGGCACCAACAATCATGCCACATTCAAAGTCACTCAAATCACCTTTCTTCCCCATACTGATGCTCGGTTTGAACTGCAGGAGATTGTCTTGACCATGTCTACATGCCTAAATGCACTGAGTTGCCGCCATGTGATTGGCTGCTTAGAAATTAAGTGTTAACGAGCAGTTGGACAGGTGTACCTAATAAAGTGGCCGGTGAGTGTATATATATATATATATA